TATCACGGTGCGCTAAAAGCCGTGGCTTGGAAGGTTGCCAACTGACGGGGTACCTTGGACCGCCTCCTTCACTGGAGGCGGTCTGAGAGTCAGGCTGCAATGGCTCCTTTTTAATGTGGCCTTTATGGCATTCCCACCACAGTGTGGGATCCGAGCCAGGCGTTGGCGGCACGCCCAGGTGCGGCTTCGGCCGTGCCAGCCTCCAAATCTCTGTTGTGTTGGTTGAAATCCTGGTCTTGGTGTGTGGACCAGGGGTGCGGAGTGGAGCGCCAAGGCGAAGATCCGTCCGAGCCATCCACCTGCGGCCTACCCCGTCTCCGGTCTTCTTGACTTGGTCTTGACACCGGGCTCAGGCGGGGGAGGAGGAGAGAGTGTAGGTAGATGCAGCGCAAGTCTACTGGCACTATAAAACCCTGCGCAAGTCACCGTCCCTGCTCCCACAATGCAGTCTGTGGGGCACACGGTGGTCATCGTCGAAATCGACGGACGAACTGTCGTCGTCATTGCACCAAATGCGGACATCCGCAACGGGTGCGGGCGGTTCAGTTAGTGGACGTGTGGCTGTGTAGCAACTGCACGGCAAATATCGCACCTGTGCATCCACAGTCCACCTCTACAGTCGTCCTCGATGACGGGCTTGGGAGAATCCGACACGACGGAGGGTCAACTTTTTGCTCCAGCGATAGCTTGCCCCTCCCTTCTCAACTACTTCCTGGAACTCATCTCTACATGTGTGGGGAAATGATTATCTCTCTAACCTTGACCCAAGGCCTCGTTAATCGTCTCAGGCTAGTGAATGGAGTGACCCTTACATAGCACCATCTGCTACCTGACATACAAGGGTTTGCGACTTACATGCAATAGTAAAAATTAAGAGTGAGAATTAGGTGAAATGGAAGGCCCGGCCTAAAAAGACACCAATCGCGGAAATAATCGTGCTATACGGGTACAAACGGCCAGTCCCAAAGGAAGACGAATTGCTGCGGCACGTCCATCTGCTCAGGAGTACAAGCTGGACAAGTTGAAAACTGGTCCTTGGCT